GAAGCTGTGGCCCAGAGAGGGGAAGTGACTTGCCCAAAGTACATAGCCATTTTAATAGTAGATTCAGACTCACTCCCAAGTCTCCAGGATCTGAGCCAGACAATTAGGGCTTGGTGGCTTTTGAGGGCATTAGTGTAGAGGACTTGGTACCGGATCCCCACTCCTCTTCCTATTCTCACTTAAGGCTTAATCTATGGCCTCCTGCCTCTCACCTACTCTCTGCCTTTATTGTCCCCTCTGTGCTAAAAAGATCTTTCTACTCTTGGGTCTAGGGATGAGGTCCTCTCACAGTAGCCTGATCAAAATAACTCCTCTGGAAGTTATTCCCTCTATATTCTGGACTCCCCTTCCCTTATGAGTGCAGGGCTCTGGCTAGAGCACCTGCCCACAGCTGCATCTGGCCCTAAGAGAAGTGGTCCCATGCCCGAGGCAGAGTAAGAGCTCTAAGCACTAGTTCTAAGTATCTCAAGGCCATCTTGGGGAGAGGGAGGAAGAGGGCTCAAATCCATTATTTGACCCATAGAAAGCAACAACAGTGGGTGCAGTGGACCGTCTGACCGACACCAGCAAGTACACCGGCAGCCACAAGGAGCGCTTTGATGAGAGTGGCAAGGGCAAGGGCATCGCAGGACGGGAAGAGACGACTGATAACTCAGGCTATGTGAGTGGCTACAAGGGCGCTGGCACCTATGACAAGAAGAATTCGGCAGGAGCCTCATCTTAGCCTAGTAGCCCCCGACCCTGCATCTTTAACACCAAGGAGCTGGAGAAACAATAAACATGTGAGTGTGCAGCAGCTAATGAGTTCTGTTCAATGAGGGTGAGGCACAGATGGGCCCCGGTGTGGAGAGAGGGAGAAGAGACGGTCAGGGAGTCAGGGTCTTCAGCCACACACCCTCTCATCTGTTTAGCCCCATGTGCCAGCCATAAGTTAGCTATCCCCTCAACAAGAACAGGACTAGAGGATACATTTGGAGATAAGAAATAAAGGAGATGTGAAGGCAAAAGTATTTGCTACTTGTGTTCACATGTCACGGGTGTCCACCCTACCACACCTCCCAAAATGGAGTAGCAACTCCTGATATGTTGGCCCAGATGATACTTGTTAGACCCTCCCCTGCCCATCCACCTTCCCCATACATGGTATTCTATGTTTTGTTGGAAGAGAAATGGAAGCCAGCTGGGGAAGCCTGACTCCTATTACCAATTTATGGCAGGGGATTCTCCCTTTTTTTTTTTACATGGTAGAGTACCACATCATCAACCTAGCTCACAGTAAACTCAAACTCTTAGGCTCAAGAGATCCCCTTGCCTCAGTCTCCCAAGTAGCCAGGAATACAGGCACCCTCCACTATGCCTGGCTAGTTTTTTCTATTTTTAGTAGAAACAGGGTCTTGCTCTTGCTCAGGCTGGTCTGGAACTCCTGAGCTCAAGCAATCCACTTGCCTCTGGGCTCCTAAAGTGCTAGGATTACAGGCTGAACCACCGCGTCCTGTGGCAATCCCTTATTAACACTCAGCCCAGAAGTGAGTTTTACCCACCTCACCTCAATCATGGTCCACATGGAACAGCAGCTCTTCCTGGCTGCCACAGGTAGCCCAGGAAGGTGGCCAGAG